TGTGTGTGTGTGTGTGTGTGTGTGTGTGTGTGTGTGTGTGTGTGTGTCTTATCTCACTCAGCCTTATAACCTGAATCTCTCACTCTCTGCTCTTTGAATTGAGAAAGCTCCTCGGATGAGGAGCGAAACGTCTTCTGTTACAAATAAAGTCCAGTTGTTTTTGTATTGAACGCTTTTTGAATTCACCTCATGTGAGGATGTCTGTTCTGTGGATTGTTTTCCTTAGTGTGCGAGTCCCTCGTGTGGTCTGTCTCACCTATTGCATTACCTCTTGTAATCAATTCCTCCTCGGCCACCTGTTTGTACAGTATATAAGTCTGCGTCTCCTGTTATTCGTTGTCTGTGCAAAACATGGAACAGAAACCATAACCAAACAATGCCCAAAGTCCTGATTTTGTCTCCCTTTGTGTCTTTCCTTTGCCCGTGTATGTTGCTGCTGCCACAACAGCCTTTTTTTTTTGTTTATTTAAAAATAAATGGTATTTTATTTTACCTCCTAAGTTCTCCAATTCCTGCCTGCACTTTGGGTTCAACCACCACCAGGTCATGGCACAATAACACCACAGATGCCATATTTGCTTAGAGGATGCTGATGAGATGGCCAGAAAGAACTTTACTTTTTTTGTGAATTTAGAAAAAGCATATGATGGTGCTGAGGGAGGAGGTGTGGTATTGCATGAGGAATTCTGAAGTGGCAGAGAAGTATGTTAGACTGATACAGGACATGTATGAAGGCAGCAAGACAGTGGTGAGATGTGCTGTACTGACAACTTCAGGTGGAGGTGGTATTGCATTAAGGATCAGCTCTGAGCCCCTTCTTGTTCGTTCTGGTGATGGACAGACAAACATATGAAGTCAAGGAGGAATCCCTGTAGACTATGATGTTTGCAGATGACATTGTGATCTGTGGTGAGAACAGGGAACAGGCAGAACACAACTTGGAGACATGGAGGTATGAATGTTGGAGAAAAATATTCTTACTTACTATTCTTACTTAATATTGTGCTTAAAAATGTTTCTTCTACTGAGGAGTATGGTTCCTTTTTAACCAGTATTACAAGGTCAGATTTTCAGGACAAGTTACACAGACATACAGGAAGTACACACATACACCAATCACGAGAATCTGCCACAAGCCTTTATAAGCTTTTTATACTCATCAGTTCAGCCGACTCTGAGGCGTCCTTGAAGCAACAGCTTCACGTTGCAGCCTCACTCAGCTCCTCATCCAGCTTTCTACTAACCCAAACATATGGTTTATGAGCAGAGTTATCATTATCAGCCATAATTGTTAAAAACAACCATAACCTTTGACTAAACATTCCTTTGCAATGCACTTGAAAGAAGAGGAATGAAAGTTAGCCATAGTAAGGCAGTATGTGTGAATGAGAAGGAGACAGGTGGAACAGTGAGGCTACAAGGAGCAGAGGTCACAAAGGTGCAGGACTTCAAGTACTTCGGATCCACTGTCCAGGAAAATGGTAGATGTGGAAAAGAGTCCAGGCAGGATGGCGTGGATGGAGAAAAGTTTCAGGAGTGATTTGTGACGAAAGGGTGTCAGCAAAGGTTAAAGGAAAAGTTTACAAGACAGTGGTGAGAGCAGCTATGTTGTATGGTCTGAAGACAGAGACATGGACAAAAAGACAGGAAACAGAACTGGAAGTAGCAGAGATGAAGATGCTGAAGTTCTCTTTAAGAGTGACAAGGATGGATAAGATTAAGAATGAAATCATAAGAGGTACAGCACAGGTTGAACAGAGATAGTTAGAGAGGCCAGACTGAGATGGTTTGGACATGTCCAGAGCAGGGACAGTGGGTATATTGGTAGAAGGATGTTAGAAATGCAGCTGCCAGGAAAAAGACAAAGAGGAAATATATGGATACAGTTAGAGAGGACATGGAGGTAGTTGGAGTGAGGACAGAGTGAAATGGAGGAAGAGGACTCACTGTGGCAACCCCTGAAGAGGGAAAAGCTGAAAGAAGAAAAAAAAAAAAACACATTTGAAAATGAAACCTAGTTTTTGATTAAACATTTAATTTTTTTGTTGACTGAGTACAATCATTATGCTTTTTAAAATCTTCTTAGGACTTCCCATTTTTCAAAGTACAAGATTGAAGCTGCTCACCAGTCAGTTATCCCATCCTCATGAAACATTGTCAGTAAATTCTATTAGACAAACCTGGACTTCAGGCAGGCCAGTCAAGAACATAATCAATGTGAAATGAAAGTTAAACCTCTCTGTTGATTTGGATACAGTACGTGTGAAGGTAGTGTAGCTGCACAGTGAGCTCTGATATGAATAAAAGCCAGCATATGCAATGGTTTAGGAGCATTTTAATTGAAAACAAACAAGATTTTTATTTTTCCTAATCAGGTAGAATCCCATTTCATTTAAAGTTGACGCAAAATTGTAGTTAGATGTGAGCTTTAACCATTACAATAATAAACTGTCAATGAGCTCCATCGCCTTTCTTACAGAAATTATGTACATAAAAATGTTAAATTTACAGGTTCAAGTAAAGACCAACTGCATCTCTTTTCCAGGACCTTCCTGCATCTGTCACGCGCATTTCAAACTTTCTGTGCCATAATCTGAGTGAAGATGCCATTCCAAAGATAGCAGAATATTGCTCTTTCAAAAGCATGAAGGACAATAAAATGTCTAACTACAGCACATTACCCAAGGAGACCATGGATCATGACAAGTCTCCTTTCATGAGGAAAGGTGAGTCTCTAAATATCTGTCACAAGTGTAGATGAACATATGCATGAGATATATTCATAAATTAAACGGATTCTTTCATTTTTCTGGACTGTATAATGATGTGCATTGAATTTAGAAATGTAACGTGAGACGTTAATTATCTTTGACTCACCAACGACAGTGGGTCATTTATTAACAGAATCAAAGTTTAACACATCACACATTTACATTAATTGGCAAAACATGGAAAACAACAACATGGCTAATTTTAGCAAGCTGTACAATTTTGATTGACCACACGGCGGTGGTTGAGAACTTTACACAGACATTTCTAATATATCTGGAATGATTTCTACCTGATAGAAGAATTTTAAAGATGGAAAGATGAAGTTTAGAGGGAGAAAAAGATGGGTGAGGGGGTTTGTTTGTGTCAGCATTCAGAACGGCAATCTCCGGGTTTTCTCAGCTTCTTCCCCCAGTACACTTAGGTGGTATAAATCAACTCTTTTACCTGGAGATGTCTCCACTGGTACGAAAGTCCATTCAACGCACCCTTTCAGCGTCTCCGTAGGAACAGCTGTGAATCGTCCGAAGTAGTGACGGTATTCCGTCTGACACAAGTTCACCTCACGAGTGGACTTCACATGAGTGGAGTCCGTCAGAGTTCCACCCAGAGGTGGAAGATGTTATAATCCCATAAGACTCGGAAGAGCTCTGTGGTCATGTCAGGATCTTCCCGTTTCCCAGCACGGGAGCTGCAACGACTGAAGCCGGAGCCTGAAGCGACTGGACTTCTGCAAACTCTCCACCCGACTCCAACTGGACTCGACTCCAAACTCGACCGGGAACTCCACTGGCTCATCGAGGAAGTACCGACATTTTAAAGGGCTCTATTTCCGGTTCATTTGGGAGTTTCTGATTGGTCAATATCGACCAGACAGGGGTGTGTTTTGTGACGTAAGAGGTCACTAGGAGTCAGAAAAACAGCAAGAATGTTATGGAACAGATTGAAAATGTTTTTCAGACAGACGAGGGATATTTAGACGAGTTGGCGGAAAACAGGTGCCAACAGGTGCCAGCTTCTCTATTTACGTCTGAGAGGATGTAAAAACAAGACCGTTCGTTCCAACACTTGTCTGCGTTTGAGTCCAACCTTGGACCAACTTACCCTGCTCATTCAAAGACAGAAAATCAGAAAATGCATAATTACTCTAACAGACCTTAACATGAATTCTAACTTTGCATGAGGATTAAAAATCATTATTACTGTTTCACAGTTAATTAAAAATGATTAGTTCACTACAACATCTAAAATGGTTTGAACTAAAACACTTTGATTATCAAACATTTGTAAAATAGTAATGATAATAGAAAAGAGAGTGTTCTTTCACTTGAATTCAAGAAAGAAAGTCTCAGGATGGGTCAACCTGTATTTCTGGATTCAAATCAATGAAATGACAGTTTCTGTCCCATAAGGTCCTAAGGTCAAGGTTTTGACATCAGGCCTAGTTCACTACACAAGTCTAACAGAGTTAACTATAAACCTGGCTGAACTTGAGATAACAGCATAATAAATGTCTGGTTTTTAAGGCAGCACTTATTGAAATGCATTCAGACAGACTTTTCTGTTTAATTTAAATACGTTTGTGTGTGCCAACGTGTACACAAGCGCATACATGTACACATGCATTCATAAACGTGTGCATGTGCGTACAGGTCTACACACACGCTTATGTTTTCGTCCTGGGTGTATTCAAATTCAATTCAAAAATACTTTATTAATCCCAGAGGGAAATTAAATGTTGTTGCAACATCATCCTGGTTTCATTAGAGTTGTTATAGATGCTGATGGCTGTGGGCAGGAAGGATCTCTTGTAGCGGCCTGTCTTACAGCGGATGTGAAGAAGCCTCTGACTGAAGACACTGTTGTTGTTGTATGACAGTCTGATGAAGAGGATGCCGAGGGTTGTCTATAATCTTCTTTTTATGAAGAATCCTTCTTTGTATAATCATCTCCAAAGGTTCTAGGGGAGACCCCAGAACTGAGCCAGCCTTCTTTATGAGCTTGTTGATCTTTTTAAAGTCACTTGCTCTGGTGCTGCTACCCCAGCAGATCAGAGAGAGAGAGAGTCAGAGATACTTTGTCATTCGCACCTCATGTGGTGGAGCGAAATTATGTACACAGGGTCCCAGTTACATCCAACAATAAAATGTAAAAGAAAAACAAAGTTCATACCTTAGAGATTATCAAAGAAAAAACAACTAAAATACACTAAGCACCAATAGCATAAAAAACATTACGTCAAACAGCAGCACGAACATGAGCCTGTGTGAGCAGATGAGCACTCATCAACACGAAACAGATCAGCAGTGTAGATGAACATATGCATGAGATATATTCATAAATTAAACGGATTCTTTTATTTTTCTGGACCGTATATAATGTGCATTGAATTTAGTAAATGTAACGTGAGACGTTAATTATCTGTGACCAACCAACGACAGTGGGTCATTTATTAACAGAATCAAAGTTTAACACATCACACATTTACATTAATTGGCAAAATATGGAAAACAACAACATGGCTAATTTTAGCAAGCTGTACAATTTTGATTAACCACACGGCTGTGGTTGAGAACTTTACACAGACATTTCTAAAATATCTGGAATGATTTCTACTTGATAGAAGAATTTTAAAGATGGAAAGATGAAGTTTAGAGGGAGAAAAAGATGGGTGAGGGGGTTTGTTTGTGTCAGCATTCAGAACGGCACTCTCCGGGTTTTTCTCAGCTTCTTCCCCCAGTACACTTAGGTGGTATAAATCAACTATTTTACCTGGAGATGTCTCCACTGGTACGAAAGTCCATTCAACGCACCCTTTCAGCGTCTCCGTAGGAACAGCTGTGAATCGTCCGAAGTAGTGACGGTATTCCGTCCGACACAGGTTCACCTCACAAGTGGACTTCACATGAGTGGAGTCCGTCAGAGTTCCACCCAGAGGTGGAAGATGTTATAATCCCATAAGACTCGGAAGAGCTCTGTGGTCATGTCAGGATCTTCCTGTTTCCCAGCACGGGAGCTGCAACGACTCCAAACTCGACTCTCGACCCGACTGAAAACTCCACACGACTGGCTGAACTAGGAAGTACCGACATTTTAAAGAGCTCTATTTCCGGTTCATTTGGGAGTTTCTGATTGATCAATATCGACCAGACAGGGGTGTGTTTTGTGACGTAAGAGGTCACTAGGAGTCAGAAAAACAGCAAGAATGTTATGGAACAGATTGAAAATGTTTTAGAGACAGAGAGAGAAATGTTTGGACGAGTTGGCGGAAAACAGGTGCCAACTTCTCTATTTACGTCTGAAAGGATGTAAAAACAAGACAGTTCGTTCCAACACTTGTCTGCGTTTGAGTCCAACCTTGGACCAACTTACCCTGCTCATTCAAAGACAGAAAATCAGAAAATGCATAATTACTCTGTAACAGACCTTAACATGAATTCTAACTTTGCATGAGGATTAAAAATCATTATTACTTTTTCACAGTTAATAAAAATTGATTAGTCCACTACAACATCTAAAATGGTTTGAACTAAAACACTGATTATCAAACATTTGTAAAATAGTAATGATAATAGAAGAGAGAGTGTTCTTTCACTTGAATTTTCAAGAAAGAAAGTCTCAGGATGGGTCAACCTGTATTTCTGGATTCAAATCAATGAAATGACAGTTTCTGTCCCATATGGTCCTTAGGTCAAGGTTTTGACCTTCAGGCCTAGTTCACTACAGCAGCAACATGTGATTTTTTTTTTCAGTGATTATTCTGGTTAGAGATTCATGAGTCTAACAGCCTCAGGGTAGAAGCTGTTCCTCAGTCTAGTGGTTCTACACTTAATGCTCCTCAACCCCCTTCCTGAGAAATTGGGACAAAAAGTGTGTGTGCTGGGTGAGTGGGGTCCTTCATGATGTAGGTGGCCCTCTTCCTGCATCTAGAGGTGTAGACGTCTGTGATGGTGGGGAGGCTGACTCCAGTCTGTGCAGCCTTAACCTCTCTCTGCAAAGCTTTTCTTTCTGCAGCTGTGCAGCCTTCACGCCACACGATGCTGGAGCACAGGATGCTCTCCACTGCACACTTGTAGAAGGAGGTGAGGACTGAGCTTCCCAGGCCAGCTCGTCTTAGCCACCTGAGAAGTAGATAGAGACTCTGGTGAGCTTTCTTGATCAGGCTGGAAGTGTTGTTGCCCCAGCTGAGGTTGTCATTCATGTGTAGGTGTGTTTGTTCCTTCTGAAGACCACAATCATCTCCTTCGTCTTCTTCACATTGATGTGAAGGTTATTCTCTTTGCACCAGCTCTCCAGGTGTTCCACCTCCTGCCTGTAGCTGGACTCATCATTGTTTTTGATGCATCCCACCACCGCTGTATCATCTGCAAACTTTACAATATGACAGCTTGGATGGGTATCTGCACAATCATATGTGAGCAGAGTAAACCGGAGAGGGCTCAACAAACATCCCTGAGGAGAGCCAGTGCTGAGGGTTATGGTGGAGGAGGAGAAGTTGTAGATTCTCACTGACTGTGGTTAGTTTGTTAAGAAGTCTAGTACCCAGTTGCAAATGAAGGGGCTTAGTCCTAGTGTGAATAGTTTGTCCATCGGGGTTTGGGGGATCATGGTGTTGAAGGTGGATGTGAAGTCCACAAATAGCATATGGACATAAGTCTTTCTGCTCCAGATGGTTGAGCGCAGTGTGGACCACAGAGGAGATGGCATCCTCTGTTGATCAGTTCTTGTGGTATGCATACTGATGAGTCCTCGTTGATGTGGGTCATGACCAGTTTTTCGAAGCATTTAGCGACTATCGGGGTGAGGGCTACTGGCCGATAGTCATTCAGACCAGTCACTGTAGAGCTTTTTGGGACTGGGATGATGGTGGCAGTCTTCAAGCAGGTGGGGACTGTCTCCAGGGTAAGTGAGGTGTTAAAGATGTCTGTCAGCACCTTGCAGAGCTGATCGGCCCATT